CCGGTGACATATTAATATTTATACGTCGTTCGATCGAGCAGAACCTCGACTTTCTAAAAATGAAAAACTCGCCGAGAAATTCCGCCCCTGCGAGGAGATATAGCTATTTTCCTGATGCTGTAGGGTCACTCACCAACAACTTATATCCTGTTGCTGTTACCGTTCTATTAGAATTATATAAACTATGGCGTGACTGCCAGCAAAACGCGACCGACTGCAGAGATAATTTGATAGGTGTTCTCCTAGAAAACATTCAGTCTCACGATGATCGACCATTATTCTGCTTCAAGTCGCTCAGAAGAGTCCAACATTTGGTTTCAAATCAAAATTTATTCTCATTGTCAGTAAGAAAGGCGATTCGTAATTGTTTCAGATTTGTATAGACAACATTTGGAATAGCATCAAAGAGCGGAATTCGTTCATGTTTTCAGGCATAAACGAAAGATTCTTGATTGAGTGAGTTGATCACTTCCCATTTCTTCGCAATAATTGTTCTTCTTTGAATTGCTCATTCCATAGCGGAAATTTTATCAAATAATTGCTCAGTTGTCACCTCTTCAATCGTGATATTTCGAACCGATGTCGAAGATCTAATGCATGCTTAAACTTAAAGTAAGAATGAAGTGAAACGATTCATCAACAACGAAATGTTTGATTTCGATGTTTCCGCAATATACGTTCTGAGTTGGATGACAACGAATAAAATTGCTTTACTGGAGTATTTGCCGTTTTGTGACAATGAACATATCGCGAATATTGCAGCAGTTAGTGATCAGCTATTACTTTTCTCATTTTTACTTAATCAGTCAACAAATGATTATGAATATTGTATTGCTATCAACTTCAGGAATGACACCTCATCGAATGCAACTCCATACAGCTTGATTCATGAGTTGAATTGCATACAGTTTAAATTTCGATGCAAAATTCAATCAACAACTGATAAATTCCAGGATTTGCTAAACCATATGGGTGGAAAGAGCGATAATTCAAAACAGGACTATGTAAATGGCTTAGATATTCATTCGTTCACTTCATTACTAGTCATTCTGTTGATTTATATTTCGGTTGCTGCTCAAACGATTTTCGATAATGTTGCTGAAAAGATTTCGCAACTCATAACTAGTGCAGAATGGTTTGCGTCTAAAGATGGACTCCATTCAGCTGTGGTTAGCAACTAAGAAATCTAGTGAGATGAGCGATTNTAATGGCTACGATTATTTAGACCATGACAGATGATGACCTCAGCTCTACTTTTTTGATCTTCATTGTACTACTTCAAGTAGCTTTCTTCAAGCTTATTCATTGATTTTGAATGAAGGCTTTTGATGTTGATGAATTTGAACGCTTCCACAAAATGTCAGCATGACTGATAGAGGCTTAACAAACTTCATCACTAAAGCCAAAACTATTCATTCGGCACCAATAAGTAATTACGGAGTATAATCTTGATTGTTCCTTGATTCTGCATGATACACATTCCATCAACTGTACCCTACTGTTGAACATGCTGATGATCCACCAAAGGATTTCATTCTTTTCACGGCAAACTGAAATGAAAATTAAGCAAAAGATTAGAAGAATGTTTTCAGTTTTTGTGTGGATGCATGTGACAAAGCAATATCACCATGTCGAGCGAATGCAACGTGTCAGTTTGACTTTACATTCAATGAGGATATCGCTGGAATGCTTGATAACAACTGGAATGTTACATGTTCATGCCCTCATCAGGGATTCATTTATAGGTTCATTCTACTCAATTCATTCACATGTTTCCATTCTAGATTATCCTTATCATGTATGCATGATTTATTACTTTCAAAACGTTGGTAATATCATAATTTTATGATTTCCCAAATTGATTTATAGACTTATACTATGGATTCGGAAAAATATGATAGTAATTTGAAACTCAGAGTGGTAACAATGCGTTTTTACTTTCATTATCTTGAGGCAAAAACACAGGAGACTTAAAATTCATAATGCCTTTGCCTAACTGAAATATTTTCTACGAAAACGATAAAATGATCTCAATTCAGGTTCGATACCAACAAATGTGTTGATATTAACGAGTGTTTATATGAAAGTTGCGAAGGTTGGAGTGACTAGCTTCATTGAATTACTTATCACATAAACAGTCATTTTATATTAATGAACCGAAATCTGTTTGGAAATGCATGAAAATCCGTTTTGTTGAGAGTGATCTCATGAAAAACTTTTCACCGATACTGCTGCTGTCGACTCTAGGGTGCATTCCGCATTATGGTAATGCATTCTCACCGAATCAGCAGTTCAGAAGGGTCATGAAATTTATACAGCAATTTAATTATTTCGCTTCTTTTTCTGACATAATATGGTTTTCAGAGAATGAGATTTGTGTAAATGAGAAAGGATCGTTCAGATGTATTTGTCAGTTGGGATTCATTCGTGAATCAAACACGTGTAAATCAATTGATATAAAACCTTTCCACTGGTATGGTAATGCATTGGGCATAGCCACGAGCACAATCTATGATATTAATTTGATATTTATAACCGTTGCATTTTTTATCTCATCCATTATTATATAATCTATGATATTTTATATTTCATCCACAACTGATCCAGACAATTTTTACTATGCTATGTTATGTACTGAAATTGTATTGCTTCAATCATCTGTTTTGCCCAATTGCTTCCACTATATGCTTGATGCTCATTTCATCTTGTTTGCAAAATAAGTTATTTTAGTTAAGTTTTTAAGATATTGTTCATTGGTATATTTGTTATGGTATGTTGATTTTGTTTTGTTTTGTTGTTGTTTTAAGAAAATAATGGACATAAATGTGTTCGTTGGATAATTGATGAGATTATTTTTTCCCTCAGAGTGCACTAAATGCTGTTCCAAGTGTCAAATTTGTTTGTTAATTGCATGAGTAAATTAAGAAAATTTCACGGGATTCCACACCCTTCCGTTTGAGATATTTCATCCGTAGAAAAATTTCTGCCGAGAAGTAAATTTTTCATCGTTGGACTGAATGACCAACGGTAACATTCGAAGACATCTTTTTTTCCGTTTCAAATTTACCGCATTCGGCAAGACGACAATTCGATTCCGATGAACTTTACGTTTCTTTAATGAAGATGTGCTGAAGTAAAAACTTTGATTAAGATCTCAAAAATCAGGTAAAACGATTTCCTTCGTTTTATCCACACGAAATGTTTCCAATGGAACGGATTTTCCTCTCTTCAGTTCATTCGAGAAAGTTCAACGGCTTTTGTATTTAGCTAATCGTGCGAAATCTGATGTGCTTATTGTGTTTTCTTTCGGCTCATTGTGCTGTTTGGATGGCTGTTTGATTTCAGCTCAAAAATCAAATGGCATCATATCCTCTCGCTGACAAATCCATACTATTGTGATGATAGCATTGGAAGTGATTCATTTGTAATTAATTTAGTCAATATTACGGCTGGAATGCAACTCAAATTAATTTACCGACTTTAGTCTCAACTTAATTTATTCATTAATTTGTCATCTATTCTTGAACGAGAACGAAATCAAGCGAGTAGTCCAGTTTTATGAGTTTTTTCCGGATAATCTGAATCCATTTTCCAGTTGATGTGATCTTATTGATCCGTATCGTCATATGTAAATACAAACAATGTCATCGTCCTCATCATCAAGCGTAGCCATTTCGTCGACAACGCGACTGCTCAAAAGAAATACAACTATTATCGTAACGGGTGTTGGATTGGGAATCGTCTTCATCGGATACTTGATCAAACGGTAATGTTTTAATCCATTGTTCTGAGGGTTGATGAAGCTCAAGTCCTGTTTGACAAATTGGATTCGTAGAAGCGCTTTGTGTCTTGTCACAATTACGAATGGCTCATTTAACTTTAGTTCAATTAAAAATTTTAGCAGTTCATTCGAAAGATTCAAAGCAGGATGATTTGACACTGAAGAATGCAAATTTCTTTTCGAATTTGTTTCCAGTTGTTAATAATCGCTGTAACTGTACCATTTTGCGGTTCTCAGTGGAGCACTGTTGATGAAAATATGGCTAATTTCAAGAAACCTTCGAAAATTCTTTGATTGTCGGCAAAATGCTTCGTTTGCTCAGTGATTAAATTGTTCAGTTCGCTGATTTCATATTGATCGCACTAATTTAGGTATTGGTCAAAACACGACGACAGCGAACAGGACGATGCAGATGAACAGTTGCTTACACGACCTTACGATGCAGCTCTAGGTTAGTGCTTATTCATTTCCGATCATACAAATTCTACTGTTTCAGAGGAATATATTTTCGTTCTGAAACTATTTGTTCTAATGCTGTATTCATGTAGTCACATCTGAATTATTAGATATATCGGATCTGAATGAATGTTTCCAGCCGTTTTTAGAGCCATATCTTTCGAACATATTTCCAATTTATCAGTCTCAGAAATTGGATGAAACTTGGTTTGATCTCTTCATCTGTAATGATGGTTTGTAACTGTCAAATACTCGGCAAATATAGGTAGTTATCAGAAATTGATTTTCGCCAGTAATATCTCGATTACGGTTTGTTTAAAGTGATCAAATGAATAAATAAAATTTGTTTGAAGCACGAAGTATGTCACGTT